CGACACAGTCACATCACCGCCAATGCCGCTCGATGACGAGCCGCCAGACACACGAACAGCTCCGCCAGACCCGCTCGAAGACGAAGAACCGCCGCTCACGTCCATCGACCCGGAAGGTCCCGTTTGTGACTCGCCGCCGCTCACGACTACGTTGCCTCCCGATGCTGCCGCGTCGCTAGAACCGCCCACAACGCTCACCGAGCCACCGGATCCTGTGTTGCTTGAGCCGCTGGACACACGCACAGCGCCGGAACCACCGTCCACCGCGTCGCCAGACAAGATCGACACTTCACCAGACGTAGACACAGCGCTAGCATTTCTGCTACTAATCGACACAGTGCCGCTAGACACACTGCCAGCGCCACTTGACACAGACACCGCGCCACCTGTCGAGGAGCTGCTAGAGCCACCCGACACAAATACACGGCCCGCAGCTGTAGCCGCTGCACCCGACTGTACTGACACGTCGCCGCTGCTAGCCCCGGATGAGAGCCCCGACGACAGAGTAACACGTCCTGATGAAGACGTGACAGAGCGTCCACTTCCAACTGACGTTGCACCGCTTGATCCTACAACGCCTGATGCACCTCCAACAGCGCTTACCACTTGGATAGCTCCGCTCTGAATGAGACCAGCACCCGATGTGACTTGCACAGAACCGCCAAAACGGCTCGTACTCGGCCCACCCGAAAGTGCGATAGCCCCGCCATCACTGTTATCACGCGAAGAAGAGACAGCACTACCGCCTTGTAGAAGGATGCTGCCACCAACACCAGAACGTCCAGAGAGAGAACCCGCAGAAATGTTGACGTTTCCGCCTGAACTCATCGTGGATGTAGGACCCACTTGGATGACCACATCTCCTGATGCAGTAGATGTGCGACTTGCTGTTGTTATGTTGACCATGCCGCTGCTTGATGCACTCAACGAGATTGATCCGCCACTGGAAGACGAATCTACACTTGTCCCTGCGGCGATACGAATGTCCCCTTGAGGTCCCTTTGAGTCACCGGTAGACAAATATAACGAGCCAGACTGTCCCAGTTCGCTCCCCCCACTGGACAATTGCAGCGAACCACTCGAACCTTGTTTCACTTGACCACTTGAGACGGAAAGTAAACCGCTCCCCGCACGCGACACAGAAGTCTGACTGGCGATGATAACGTCACCACTTTGACCAACTGAGTTGATACCGCTCTGGATGGAAACACTGCCACCAGTTCCACCAAACGAGCTGCTGCCGGCACTGACGACCACATCGCCGCCTTTTGCCTTTCCGCTGGCTCCTGCTTGCATAAAGACAGATCCAGATACCCAAGTAGACGAGCTTCCGGACTTGATATGAACATCACCAGATTGCGCTGTAGAAGCACTTCCCGTTTCGATACGGATAAATCCGCTCTGAGCACCATCGCCAGAAGAAAGCTGCACGTTTCCTCCTGCAATTTTTGACCCCGATCCAGCGAGAACGCTGACGCTCCCACCAGAATCAGCACCAGCACCTCCGCTGACAGAGACAGAACCCCCAGTACCAATGATTGGTGACGCTCCTCCGGCCAGATTAATTGATCCTGCGACTGTCGACTTCCCTTTTCCCATAACATCACCGCCGATAACAGAAACATTCCCACCTGTTGTAGAGTTGCTCGTGCCTCCTAACAGAGTCACTTGGCCCCCGTCCAAAACTGAGTCTCGGCCACGAATCACCACACCACCAGCGCTTGACGTACTGCTACTCCCACCGCCGATACGAACGCTACCGCCACTCAAAGATCTTGACGACCCGCCATCAATCGACACATCGCCTCCTGCTCCTTGAGAGTTCGCAGATCCGATGATCTTCACCTTCTGCGCTGCATCCACGCTGGCCAC